GTGACTCAGGATCCAAGACTTGCCTCGAATTAGTGCAAGAAAACCAAGAAATGTGGCATGAGTTTTGGAAGGCCCAAGTGTTGGTGGAGAGAGCTGTTGATGCAGTGGATGCAGCAAATGCCCAGTTGGCATTAGGGGGAATGTATGTGTCTAAAGCTCAGACACAGCTCTTAGCGCAGGAAGAAGCAGAGAAGTCGAAGGAGGATGGTGGATGCATTAAAGGGACATTTGGCCAAGTTGTGACACATGATGGTTTCTTGAGGGACCAAGCAGAGCGCGCGCAGAGAAAATTAAATGAGCAAGAGTTGGAACGATGGAAGGAAGAGGCTAAGGAGCGGTGGAAAGTGTTCAACAACTCACAGAAGGCAGAAATAACAAGCTGGTGTGAAGAAAAAGCGCACTTGGCCACACTCAAACAAAAAGCACCACCAAAGCCACTGGAGGTCCGAATGAGGGAGTGGATGGCCAAAAATTATCCACAGCTTCAACAAAACAAGCCCTTCACATCACTGGAGGATGCAGGACACTGAAGCATTGAAGATTGCACCCAGCATGGACCTCGAGGTAGGGAACGACAGGAGGCGATGGCCAGTGATGATGGTAAGTGCGACCAGGAACGTTCAATGTGATAGTTCTATCCACCTGTCATATCCATACTCAGCCATCGACTTCCACTACCTCCGAAGTCTCCAGACTACCTCCACTCCTTCCTCACTAACCTCAGAGCTCCCATATTCTGCAATCACCTCGGTATCCCTCGATGGTCACCACCCCCTCTTTTCAATTTATTACCTATGCCTCCCTAAGTACGGAGCCCTGAAGGCTTCCAGACAGCTCTGACGTCCACTAGTGCACTCCCACCTCCACTGGGCAATACACTCGCTTGCCCTGCAAGTCCACCTTTCAGGCCTATCCCTCCTTTCCATTTCTGGGTTATCGCCTACCATCCTGCTAACCCTGTAACCCAACTCGTCGGTAATATTCAATCGGCTAATGTTTACATAACTCCATTAGCTCCGCTCTGCTCGGCCCCACCATTTACAGGCCCGCCCTCGTTGTAACTATATATACTCAACTTGTACATAGGTTACATAAAATTGACTAGAGTTTACCCCCTGTTAGTTCTGGTTGCCAGTTAGTAAGTTAGGGCACAGATGTGTTACTTGGCACAGCACTCCTGGCATAAGTCACTGAGGCCAAAGCCCTCCACCACGGAGACATTCCTTTGTCTCAATCTGGTCTCTGACACCACCCTTGCAAATCCTTGAACCATTGATAAAGTTCTTCCATTGTGAATTTAATCTGGAAGTCCTGACATGCATTCACCGAGTAGCTCAGCCACCTGTCCATCTCCTTTGGGTTGTGCCAATGATGGCTCAAAGAAACAGGCAACACCAGGCCAGGGACCTTGGTATATAGCTGTTCCAATATGTCGATGTGATTTTGCTGTACGTTCCACTCATCATGTATCCTTTGCAACCATGAGGGGGACACTTGTCAAAAGTGCATCATGGTCCGATAAGGGGTGATGGCAGGCATGGAATCCTGGAGAAAAGAAAAGCCAAATCCATCCATGATGTAGGGCCGAACGAATGCATGATGAACACAGCCTGGGGATCATGCCGTACAAACTGGGCATGCAATGTCCATTCATTCTCCCCTAGCCAGAACTCGGCATCCATATCATAGTCAGAATAATTGTGATGAAGGAACAAGGGGTCTGTTGGGATCTCAGGGTAATCCCATGCCACGTTACATGACATGATGGTATAATTGACCCTTCAAACGAATCACCTTATTCGTGAGTACCTCGTAAGAGCGTTGCTCATCCGATAGTAAGGAGAAACAAGTGGAAGAAGTGTGCGATGGTTACCATATTGCGTTTTTGCGATGGCAGGGATCATTCATTCACTGCGATCCCAGGTAACACGGAGGCAGTGATTAGGGTCTTCCATAATCCTGAATCAGCCCTTGCTATTGACAGAATGTTGGCACCATGTTAACACGATGGGATACGTCTTTGAACCACTTTTTACGTACCAGCACTAAGGTTGTCTATAGAGTGCCAAAACCAAGGTCATGTGCAAGTCAGCCATTGCAGTCTGTCGGCACTTCCCTCGCGTGTTGAAGGGGAGGATTGATGTGCTGAAACTAGAAACTAGTGGGGCAGCCAAAAAGTGTCTCAGTGGCAATGCCAAAATCTAGAGGACCCAGGAAATAAAATTATCAACGTGATCTGGGTGTGAATAATCTCGCCACCAGTCCCGAAAATCGACGACTCACCGATTCCCTCCATGGGTTTCCACACTGCCACCAAATGGGGTGACGAAGACGAGCGCAGTGCTTGGAGGTGTATGGCCAGAGAATGGTGTGCGATGGGCCTGAAGGATATGCCGGTGCAGGTACATCACATCGGGATGCCTGAAGGGCAACGAGTTTAGGGCAGTGTACCATTTTGTGAAGAGGGGCGTTTCATTAGCTTTGTCTTGTTCAAGGATACGGGGACTGATAAAAAGATGTATTATTATTAGGTGTAACTATGTATACAATGTTTTATAGTATGGCTACATGTGGAACGGCCAACGGACGAGGCAGGAGGCGGCGTCAGAGTAGTTGTGGGATGCTGTGCATGCGTGCACTGCATACCTGATAAGGCTAGTGAAATGACTTGTTATCCCAGTCTGTTGTTATGAGTAGACTTTAGGCGCTCAACGGCAACACTCAGACACTAACAAGGGACTCAAGCTCAAGTAAGTATTGAAAGATATTATCCTTAGGCTTCGTTCGGGTTGAAGAAACTGGTTTCTTCAACCCGTTTCTTCCAGTTTCTTTGAGCAGTTTCTTTGACGCTCTCAAAGAAACTGCCCACCCCCGGGGAATTCCACTTAACTAGTTTCTTCCTGTATTGAAAAATACTATTATTTATAATCATATCATGGCGCTTATGCATAGGTGCATTACAAAGGATCGACGTGAACGTGCCAAGCATCAACAACTGCTTATTGGGTTGATCGTATCTCAATGGATTCTTTCAGCAGCTGAAATTTACCACCACCGCTATATTCTCAAATGCCCTTACCATGACTCACCATATTGGGGTGAAGATTGGCTTCGGGATTTGCTGAATGGACACCCAGGTCGGTTCCACAGCCAATTTGGGGTCCATAAGCATGTCTTCCGTCGTCTGGTTGCTGAATTTCGGTCCATGGGCATGACAAATTCTAAATATCTTGCCGTTGAAGAGCACACCGCGATATTTCTCTATTCTGTGGTAACCGGACTCTCAATAAGGCTCATTGCAGAGCGGTTCCAACATTCATTTGAGACAGTTTCGATGTCAGTCTCTATCAAATCTTGTTTGTGCGGCATGGCTAACAACCCTTCAGTTACTTCAAGAAAGTTCTTTGTGTATTATCGTCTCCTCCCTTCTACCTCAAATATGTATGCCTACCCAAGCCTAATACCCCTACTCCACCCGAAATTTCCGCCAATCCAAAATTTTATCCATTTTTCAAAGATGTCATTGGCGCAATTGATGGTACACACCTTCCCTGCAACCCTTCCACAGAAGAGCGCGAAGCATCCCGCAACCGCAAAGGGGGTGTCTCCCAGAACTGCCTGGCAGCATGTTCATTTGATCTCCGTTTCCAATATGTGCTCAGTGGATGGGAAGGGTCAATTGCCGATATGGCAATGTACCGTGATGCATGCATGACAGATTTGCCTATCCCAAACGGAAAAATGTATCTTGCAGATGCCGGATTTGGTGCATGCGATACACTTCTAGTTCCTTACCGGAAAGAAAGATATCACTTACAAGAGTTTGGGCGGAGTCAACTTCGGTAAGTCAATTTTTGTGGCCCCACTACCCATCTCAGCTGTCCTACAGACCACAAAACCATCGAGAATTGTACAACCTTCAACATGCTCAACTTCGGAATGTTGTGGAGCGCAATTTTGGAATTGTAAAAAAGCGCTTTGCAATCCTCCAGCGTGCACCTTCATATCCAATGGCCATTCAGGCTCGAATTCTTCCTGCACTCTGCTGTCTCCACAACTTCATTCGATTTTACGATGCTGATGAAATCCACACTTTTGGAGTGGCCAGTATGGACATTACCTCAGGTGATTTTGGGGAACTTCAACATGGTACTATCACTCGGCAGGAAAGCAGTCGGGCAAGTGGAATTCGCGATAGTATAGCTCAAGCAATGTGGATTAGCTACCAACAGCACTTGTCAACTCATTGAAGTCAGTATATATGAATGATGTGAAACAAATACTAGGATTGCCCAATCACTGGAATTTTGGTGCTGCCAGACGGGCTATTTTCTTCCTGACCCAGTTCTTTCGCAAGCTATCACGGTTCAGGCTGAGGTAGATGTCTGCCGCATATGGCTCCTCCTGAAGAACATTGAGAAGGATTGTCAATTCTTCATCATCCAACTCATCCTCAATCTCTTGAGCATGAGTAGCAGCTTGAATTTTCCGCTGCGGGGTAGTTGGGATAGTAGAAGATGAGGCAGAGCTGGAAGCAATGAATGCCTTGGTGAAGTCACTCATTGACTCAGCTAGGGCAGTGAAGCCAATTGCGGCATTGGAATGCGGAATTGTATGCTTTCGTTTCGGTAGTGCCTCGAGTTTGACAGCATGTTGAACAAATGAGCTTTTTGATTCAGGATGTGGTAACTGATGAGTTGAAGGGATGGAGGGAAGAGATGAGAGGGAGGGAGATGGCTTGAGAAGATCGGGGTCAATATTGTCCTCAAAGCCAAGATCATGGCGCTTGCGAAGTCGTTCAGGGGAGGGGGTACATGACCAATTCTCGGTTTTGTCAGCATCCTACAGACATATATAAGTCATGACCTTGAAAGGAGTGTCAACATACCTTTGGTTCATCAGCAGTGGGTTCGGTGTCCTCGCTTTCAGGCTCCGGCATCTTGGTTGCGCGAAATGCTTGGCGTCCAGTTGCGCGCTTAGGATTAATCTCTGCCATCTCATCAAAGAGTGGCCACCCTTTTTGACGGAATGGAGCAGCCAGAGGCCACTCCTAGTAATGTAAATATCATTATTAGCAATTAGTCATCGCAAATAAGAGATATGGGCTAGCAGCTACTTACCGCAACAAAATCAATCCATAATTGCTCCTCTTCCGGTCCTAGATCAGCACCATTTTCATTACTCCAGGGGAAGCCTGACTGTTCCGAGAGCTGTTTGACTGCCCAATATATCTGTTTTAACTGCGGAAAAGGTATAGTCAATACTTTGCTGAGATGCCGCAACTAGCAACTCACCTTGCCATATTTGTTCTTGCATGCACTAGGCTTGAAGACTGTCCCACACTGCTCAAGTAAGTGCGCTGAGGCACCATTCCAGACCTTGTCCTTGAAGCCAATATTAGAAGTACCACCTGCGCGCTTAACTTCAAGAAGATGGTGGATGAGCTCTGCCTCATCATGGGACCTCCAAGTAGCCCGCTCAGATGGTGTCTCAGTAGGAGCGGTGGCTGCATGAGTGGGTCCTCCTTTGGGAGGTCGACGTCATTTGCTGCCGTTGATCGGAGCTTCAGATGTTGTGTTGACATCTGTGTCAATGTGTTTCCGCTTTGGGGGCATAATTCACAAGTCTCAATGTCGCTGCATTCCATTGTAGAATTTATAAAAGGATCTATGATGAAGAAACTGTGTACCGAACAGTAATCAGTTTCTTCTCGTTTCTTGCCGAAACTGAAAGAATCGGGAAGAAAAAGCGAGAAAGAAACACGCAAATAATGAATTAAGAAACTGGAAGAAACGGATCGAAGAAACCAGTTTCTTCAACCCGAACGAAGCCTTAGGTTTTGACTATGAGGTTTTATAGTACAATGGGGCTATGCTACAACTGGGACGGCAGTCATGGGATGTTGTGCGTGCGTGCACTGCATACCCGACTAGTGATATTCAACAACAGCATTCACTGTTGATGAGGATCAGGACCCTTCGCATCTCTCTGCACCCATCTAAGCTTTCTCCACGGACCCAGCAGAGGAAGATCCTGCAGAGAAGCAACCTCAGTTCGTCCTATCTCTTGCACTCGAGGTTACCTTCACGACTCTTAATTTGTTCTTTCTAAGAACCTGCTTGACTCCTTTGTCAGAGAAAGCATATGTTGCAAGGTGTGAATCGGACTCAAGGAGTGACTTGGAGTTGGGGATTTGATGAGAAGAAATACATAGTATTGTGGCGAAATAGTGGGAAAATGAAATAGTCAACGGGACTGCAACAAGTCCAGAGTTAGCACAATGAAGTGGGCAAGGATAGCTAAGAGGAGCTCACATCATATCACGAGAAGCAAAATGACGTGCTATTACCGGCCGAAGGTGGATGAAAGTGAACAGTGAAAGTGCCTTTGCAAAATAGGTACAGATTGATCAGCGGCATCGTCGTCACCTTCGAAGCAAGAGGCAGCCAGATTTGAATCCCAGTCACTAGAGGTATGGGATCCTAACGTTGCAAGGTTGGCTTGTCAGCCACAGCAGCTCTTGCCCCGGAGCCAGGTATGAACCATTCCACTCCACTCTTCTTTGTGCATCACTCTGACAAATTCCTCGACAATCGGCCCTGCTTTTCGAGTCAGATCATGACCCGCCATACCCCGCATCCAAACACCCTCATCCTTCTCAACTTGTTGGAGGATAGTTTCTCCGGCCTCAATGAGATAGTCTCCCAATTCATTGAAACGAGCTCGCAGCTCGGCAATCTTTGAACTCGTAAGTGTGAGAACCATGCAAGAAATAATGCCACCTCACCTCATCCTCATCTGATAAATCGCTGCCATGGAGATTCACAACCTCGTCATTGCCAGCAGGGGTGAGATTGGCGTTGACATCCATGCGCACCTGAATCAAGATGTCAGCATGAGCGATTGAAGTGTCATATTTTACCTTTTTAGCTGAGTGATCCAAATCTTGAGTCAGATCTGCTAAGGATGAGTGAGTGCACTTGATTTCATGAGGTTTGAGGCTAGCTAGACTAAGTCGGACCCCTTCTCGGTCCTGGTCATCACCGTCAGATATGCTGCCTTGTTTGGCAGCTTGGTCACGGTTCCGGAGGTGAGTATGCCGATACAGGGGCATAACATGACGCCGGTGGATATCCTCCCAAAATTCCATAGGAGGTTTCCCAGCAGAATGTATGAGGTGTTTGCAAAGGTGAAATGTGTTGGTGGCTTGTGCACTGCAGTGGCAGGTCCAGTCATTGATGTCGGTATTATAGTTGCGGCCACTGATGGGCCTCTTTTCAAGTTCATTCCAAGCAGACTTGAAAGCTTGCTGCCAAGTTGTGAGGGGGCGGCTCCTGCCAAGGCGCCAGTCAGGCTCAAGAAAGTGGGATGTATGAATATAGGAGTTAATGGTGGAATAGACAATGATGTAAACAGTCTGATCGAGTGGTGAGCATGTTTTAAATTAAAGATAGCCATGTTTTAGACTCTTCCAGTGATTTTCAGTGATCATGGTTGTGCGGACATGAGAGAGACGAGATTCACAGGAGGATTGTGCCCAGAGATCCCATTTGCTGTACCAAGAATTCCAAAGATAGGCCCAAGCCTCTGTCAGACCATGCTCCCGGCAAAAAACATACATGTCATAGACACAGGCACGTTGGATGTCCCTAAAGTTCTCGAAGTTGCTGGAGGGTGATGGGAAGAATGGGTGACGGCAGAGGTGTTGAGTGAATTTCCGAAGGAGTTGCCAGCGGTGTGCCTTGGGGCAGAACTCATATGCAGGGTCAGTCATGCACTTTTCCCCTGCTTCCAACTCATACTCTGGGGCATCATCACAGTCCTCACCATCCGACTAAGATTCCAACTCCTCTGCATCACTGTCCCTACCATTTTCGGCACTCCGCATGCCACATCTGGCTTTTTTGAGCATCAAAAGCGCATTTTCTAGCTCATCTAGATGGGGATCATCTCCATCCTCTGAGACATTGTCATTGTCGTCAATTTCACCCCCAATGTGGGCGTCTAAATCTATTGTGGCATCTTTTAATTATAAGGATCGGAAGCAATATTGCATGTACCATCTCTCGGACTGCTTCCCCGATCATGATCACTCGCCACCTCACCACCATCCAGTGCTTGTTTCCTCTTTTTGAGCACCACCATGGGTCTAGGTGGTGCATTTCGTACTATCAATCTATCTCCAAGCCGAACACGGAGTGTTGCAATAGTTTCCTTTGCAACGACAATCTGGTTTGCTCGTTGATGCTTTGTGCCGCTTTGTTAGTATGATTATCAAATTTACATGGGATTCAACACCTACAACGCTTCCTGACAGCTCATGTCGTTGTCCAACTGGGACAAAGTATCTCTCAATGAATTCAAACCGACTTTGGGCACAATCCACTGCATATGGTGCTGGTGTGTTTTTCCGCATCGCGAGTCGCTTCTTCACTGCCCGAACAACATGCCAGTAACACAGTTGATAATCGGCTTCAGGCCAAACCAGCTGGAATGCATTTATTTCTGAGTAGTCTTTGTCAGAAGGGGTGAAGTGTGGCTTGATCCTCCCTTCTTCACGGAAATAGTGCATCCACTCAGCCAAAACATCACGCTTTGCATTCTGTGGAGGGCCTTTGCGCTTTGGGCAAATGAACAGCCATCCCAATGGCAAGCCTGACCCGCATGCCTCCCCCATTAGAACAAACAGCTCCCAATCACCACCCACACACTTCCCTGGTAAGCCAAAGAATTGAATTTGCTATAATTTGGGTGAAGTTTATAGTACACTCACAACTGAATCCATCAACACTTCTTGGATGCGGGGGCCCCAAGTTTTTAAGATGTGAGGTACCGAAAATGCAAGTGCCTCATATTGATCTTGGCCCTTCATTGGAATAGCCGATACCCTAGGTAACCCTGACATGAGCTTCTCCGTTGATGCTTGCTCAAGGACTTTTTGGGCCGATATAACAGGATCTTGGTCAAGATGCCATTTTTTTTTATCTGCATTTTGCCAAATGGTGAATGCAGACTTCCACGTGAATTGGATTGGGTGGTAATTGGCAAGAATCTTGGTCCAAATCTGTGTAAGCATATTAAATGAGGCCTCTCTTCAAGAAATGCCAAGGTTACTCACATCCTCAAATGTCTTTGAGTCATTAACCTCAATCAACCTTCGCACAGCCAGAGGCACCTCAACCCATTCATAGGGGACATGACTCACGGTGTGAGTTATTTGGACACCTGCACATGTTTGGTCCCAAATATCCTGGATATCAATAACAAGCCATCCTTTACAGGGAAAGGTGTCCAGTCAGCGAGTGTCACGGTGCCATGATGGGTCATTGTGTTTTCGGTGGTGCTTTTGTGTTGATGAAAATTGTGCACAATGGAACGTGTATTGGTGAAGAGCACCTGAAAGACCTTTCCTAACGTTGTGCTTGTGGTAACTGTCACTGGTTGGTAAGTACAAACTATAAAATGGGGAATGAATGTGGGTGTCGACTGACCACCAATGGTATTTGGTAGATTCGGATATCATGCCAGCCAAATACTTTGCATACAAAATAAAGTATTGGTGTCGGTCAGGGCCAAGTTCTGCTGTGGGGAGCAACGATGCAGCCAGTTGGGTAGAACTTGAAGTATCGTCCTGGAAGTCTTTAAGAGGAAGGGTAACATTCTGTTCAAATTTTAGTGTAGTTGGGTTGGATGTAGTTACGTGCTCAAGGATCTCTGGATCCTTAAGCTTACTGAGGAACTGTCGGAGGGAAGTCAGGGATTGAAGGAAGGTAGTCTCTTTCTGCTTCTGCTGTGAATCTTTCTGCTTCTGCCGTGCATCTTTTTTCTTGGCTGTGAGCTCCATGTTGCATGTATGGCAATTTTTTAATATTTTGGTGGTGGAATTGTCGGAGATGGTAAATTCTTCGATAGTCTTCTTTAGGCCGCATTTTGTGCAGTGCTTTGTAACCTGATTAGAGGACATGGAGAAAAGAGGTGAGAGGTGACGGATATTTAGCGGCGATAAATATATATTAATTTCTGATTTTAGATTACATGGGTCCTAGTGATTGTCTTGTCACCTGATGTTTAATGCGGAGTCCGCCGAAGACACATCTTGGCTGCCCCATCTGGTGAAAGTTGTGCTGAAGGGGTTGCTTTAACTGCGATACACCAGCAACACACTGAACGTCTCTGGTCGTCTCCAGTTAAATACAAAAGAGAAACTTCCTAAGAAATATCGGGGGGGTGGTTGGGCGGAACGCAAAGGGTGTTATGAGATGTGGGGTTGCGTGAACAGTTTTCAAAGACAAGTGGCTGCAGTCAAGGGAGTTGCCGCCAGAGATGCGACGGCAGTGGGACACGATGAGGGAGCCTTCATGTAGTATCCTAGAGCATTGTGGAAGGAGGGCAAGGGCATTGCATGGGTCAGGCATGATGTCAAAGGTTGTAAACGAGCGCTCACCGAATATGTCAACTATCACAATAAGTAGAGTATCGAGTCACAACCTGGGAACAAAGGTCTGTCTGTACCATATCAAACGGTGACATTGGAGGCTGAACACATCAATAGACGTGCACATCATGTATGAAGGTTCCCAGGCAGTAAAGTAGACAAGGGGGAGTCAGTCGTTCAGTCCGATTGTGGCTGGCTCCCACACTCACGTGAGACCAAAGCGTTGGGGTGGATTTAGGTTTACTGTAGCCCTCTGATCGCGTATGGCATCAAACAGAGCGATTATGCAACATATGTGCTGGGTCCCTTAGGTTCACGCACTCGGGCTGGCTCATCGCCCGCACTCCGATTCGTGCTTAAGTTAAGACCTTGTCTGGGTCTTTCTTGGGCAGAACTACCATGTCCTTCATCATACTCAGGCACAGAATGTTGCTCAGCCGCTTCGCCATGCACACTAGCGTGGGACTCACCGCTGGTCCCAGACTGAAACGTTTGGTTTGTCAGTGACTTGGGTGCTCAAACAGTCGCTAGATTCTTCGGTTCTGTCACAGGGAACTAGGGACTCATCCTCACTGTTGACTGGAGTCGCATCTATGGCTTTGTGACTGGACACTTCAGTCAAGGCGACATTGATTAACTCTGGTACGAGTCTGGCTTTAACGGTACTCTGCACCGCAATCTCCCATCGTGTGGATGAGCCTCAGGCCATTGGACCGTGCTAAGACGTTTGAGATGATTTGATTGTCTTCAGCCGTTAGATGGAAACTAGTCATGATGGTCCGGGCATTGTCTTCACGATGCTGGGCTACTCCAAGTCGGGCACCTACAGTGGATGTCCATGTGTGTCAGTTCAAGTCGATCATGAGGCCATCAGTGTATGGAAGACTCAAAGAAAGGACCCAAGAATGCGTCCATGCGTGAATTAGCAGGCCAAAAGGGAGGGGTTAGCTAAAGAAGCCAGAACCACATGAAAGACTGAAGAAGCTTGATGTTGGAGCACGGAACTTGGGAGCACTTACCAACAATAACAGCTCCTACAAAAGGATGATCCAGCACCCAACGAGTAGCTACGTTCGCAATACTCAGGCCCCCATGGCGATCTGCAATCATTCGAAGGCTTGTGAGCAAAGCTTGAAAGAGATCCCATGTTCCCCATCCATCGGTGATGACGTCGAGATACTGAACGAACCATCAACGAAATGGGTGAGACAAGGATGAGCTTTGAGCTTACCTTCCGCTGAGAAGGCGTTATTTTATCCTTATATGGGTCTGGTTGAGGCTTCCCTAACCAGGGATCAGAAAGGAATCCACCGCACTAAAACGTGATTCGCCAATCATTAGATTAGATATGATCAACACGAAAAAAGCAGGCCGGGCGTACCAATGTGCCATATGTCAGGAGCTTAACGCCATGTTTTTTACATACAGCGGCCATGTCATAGAGTGGCCGGACATCGATTAAAGAGAACTAGTGGATATAGTCTCAATCAGTTCCGGCGGTAATAAACTGGTCACCCACCTGCACTTGATTAGTAAGAAGTTCACCGGGACCGATAGTTTCGCAGATTTCGTTGACATGTTGAGAGTCAAAGTTGACGAGGCCTAAAGCCCTGACCTTGAGCTCGCCATCACGTTTAATATCAACCAGGTATCGGAACACATTGACATAGTCGGAGTTGTCGTAATGTTGCCAGTGTACTTGAAGTATGTCAATCGTGTCCCCCATGGTTCTGCGCATACGTTCACGCACAGCGTCCTCTACTCGGGAACGGGTGTATGGGATGTGAGATTCCATGAATATGCACCATTTTGTAGCGCAGAGTGGTGGATGTAATGGCAGTCGTCTGCTTCGCCGAAAGGTTATTTCATCCTCACCGAAGATATTGTTATCCGCTGACAATAAGGCTCGACGAAATTGGCCAAAGATTAACTCTGCAGAGCCATAGTGGTCGGCTGTGATCGTAGGAGACGGATAGGAGAATCAGGGAAAAAAAAAAAAAACACGAGGTACACGGTGAAACAAAGTGTTCGTACCCTAATCGACGCCGACACGCAAAGTAAAGAATATTTTGATGAACAAACGCTAGGATTGAAGAGATAGGAGTCAAAATATACTTGCCATATCTACAGAGCAGTGGATTCAGTGAGTGAACACGGATGGTGTAGGTGTGCTCGGCGCACCAAAAGTCGTGAATCCATGAAGATAGTGCTGGTTCATCTCCGACTTGACTCTGGACACAGGGGCAGTGCCCCATGCAGGAGATGACAATTGCCAGAGCCCGATCCAGATGCGAGGGACGGTGAGGGGCCCTGATCAGTTGGACCAGGTGTGAGCATAAGTTTGGCATGCATCGGCTTGAGAGGCGTGTAAAGGAGCTGATGCATACCGAGGTTGATCTATGACAGAAGATACATTAGCTGGGTGATAACATGTGGCAACGATAAAGTGCGAACTGACGGTCTCGAGGGGGGGCTGGAGCATTGTTGAGGGAAGGGCGAAAGGGATGGATGGATGATGGACGAGAGGCCAGACAAGGATGGATGGACAGACGAGGGTAGACAAGGATAGGCAAATTACTGGACCAGATGTCCATCACCCCACTAGTCTAGGCCGACACAATAAGGTAGCGGACATTGCCGCGTCTGCCATCCGCCTGGCTGGCGCCCCATTGCGTGCCCGTGCCCCAGCAACTGGGTCCGAGACAAACGGTGAGATATTGCACCTAGAATCAGTGTGGTTTGTTATTCTGACATTATCGTACTTTACAGCTGGGGCTCCCCGCGCTGGGGCATGCTGCTGTCATCAGGCTGCGTGACCCAGCAATGGCGTTGCTATTGGTTCAGAAAAATGGTAAGATACTCGCTTAGGATCGCGATGTTTATTATTCTGACATCAACGTGCACTTATATTTACAGTTGAGGCTCCCAGTGCTGAGGCACACTGCCGCCGTCGCGGTGCTCACCCCAGCAACCACGCTGCCGTGGGACCAGAAAAATGTTGAGATATCCACTTGTGATGGCGAGACCTATTATTCTGACGTTATGTATTTGCAGCTGAGGTACCCGGCATTAAGGCACGTTGCCGTCGTCGCGTTGCTTACTCCGGCAACTGCTCGCTCGGATCGTTCCATCGATTCAGCTCACGACCGCCACACCTGTAGCACCAACTCATATACCTCTTACCCCTGGAGGCGAAGGGGTGGGCCCAAACGTGTGACTCGGAAAACTGTGCGTCCTAGCCGCGACCAAGATACAACACGATCGTTGGATGATACGCTTTCTATCCCTCAGCCCCCTATGCCACCTTCACTCGTCTCTACCGGTTACAACTTCGGACTCAAACTCCTCTCCTGGTTCATTGCCAGGCCCTCATTTTTCCCTCACGGTCACTGCGCCGTCTGGGATCAGTTATGAACCAACATATTCAGATGAAGAAGGCGACCATGTGCATGAGGACGACACTGGCAAGAAAAACTTCGACTTCACCGGCGAACTTAATCGTCTGAACCAGGGTGGTGTACGACTTAGCTTCGTAGAAACAGTTGGAAGAGGCTTTCAAGGTTTCCTTTCCGATTCTGGCTCCGCATCAGAGTCGCGCGCGACTTCCCCTGCGTCACTGGACTGGGAGCTCCCCGCGGAACCTAAAAGAAACCTTGTGAGTCCTTGCTTAGACGCTTGTTTTGGTTTGGGATGGTATTTGATGCGTTCTTTTTGATGCAGAATCGAACATGGGAGCTGAATCCAGGCCTCCAGTTTGGCATGCCAACAGCGCCGTTAAACATTGCTGCCCCAACGAAGGTATTTTCACTCAATTATGCATCAAACATCTCATCAGTAATGCATTTTTAGGGACTTCACTCTCGCACGAACATTGAGACCGGTAACTTAACTGCTCGCGAGATTGAATTTCTCGAAGATTTGGATACGTCAATGTGTACCTTCGCCCGCGTGCCCAATGAACCTCCATGAATCCGAGTCCCCACTTATAGCCTGGTTTGACGGTTGTGTGTACTTGTAAACTACGTCAATCAAGCTTGCAACGTATCAAGATTCATTATTGTATCCTAGTCGTCCATGGCTGGAGGACACATACAGCTCGCGTCGCTGCGTACCGGCTGTGGCTTGCTTTTACCACAAGTTACACGCTACTTGGATTATATATACAAGCCGTACGCTTCTTATCCATAGGCCACGCCTGTGTCTTGCCGGCTGCGATCCTCATCTTCCTGACTTTTCGACGCTCTTACTCCTCCCTTCTCTGCAGCTATCTGAGGCAGAGTTTTGGCGCAAAGTGTTCAGGATGAACCATCAGGTATGGATTGGGTTTGGTGACTGTTCATGACTGACTTGCCTTCGTAGTTCCGTTTTGCTATCAAACGAATGTTTCGCTCCCAACCATCCATCGTGAATGATAAAGTCAGATCTAATGCTTGATTTCATTGACAGGCTATTCCTCACGCAGTGGACCCAACCTTTCGTTCAAAGTTTCCCTTTGAGATTTGGGAGAATATATCACTCGCAAAGCAGATCTTTACGCCATGACACATGTCAACAGGAACTGGAAAGCGGTCGCTGAACGTGCGATGTACCGCATTGTTTCACTTGAGGACAATACGATCGCACTGGGTTTCTTCCAATCGATCATCGCTCGGCCATTGCGGGGATCGTTTGTGTGGTCACTATTCATTGACCTGCCCGCTCATAATTTCCGGTTGGACCCTCCGAGAAATATACGCCTGAAGAAGACACCGAGGCTTCTTCTGCACGGAGCCTGCACTGACAATTTTAGAACCGTTGATAAGACTTGGGATTGCTCTCAAGTGTATTGACGCTCTGTCCCAACATCTTACAAATACGGCTTAGCGTCACGCCAAGACTGCACAAAGCTTTTGCGCCACCCCACCGAAAATATACAAGACTCCTTCAACATCTCCAGATTTCTCCAAGAAGTCGCGGCGAAGCGAAGCCCGTGGCAATGCCCAGCTTAGGGCTGACTGGCCCATGCGAGGTTGTTAAAGCCCTAGTCCCAGGCAGACCGGTACGAGATGTCAGACTGATATGGTGTGAAGAGGATGGGAAACTTCTCGGGGCATTGACCGCGCTCGGGCAGTCGACCGGTCCAGTTTCCACGCTTACAATCCAATCTGTGGACCTACTGGATGAAAAGGCCATCGTTTTCACTAGACATGACCTTCCGCGCCTTGAATACCTCAGCATCGTTTCCCCTTATTTCCAGCTTCCGGATGACGACATTGTGATGGTCCTCCAACGGGGCCTTGAAGGACTTCCGTGCGTGAAAGAGCTCAAGATAATGGTCCCGTATTTGCCAAACGAGAAATGGCGATCTTTCATATCAACTTGTGTGACGCCGATCGTGGTTCTTGGATGGAAAGTAGAGATACGCTGGGACAAGATGGGTGGGTATCTTACGCGAGTGATGACGAGCACTAGCACCTAGAGGTCAGACTTCCTTTTCTCTTTTCTTTGTATGACGAAGTCAGCGGATCGGTCGATGAAAGTGTGGGCACGCAGCGCCTCCAAAGAGGAAGTTGATTGTAATTAACTTCATTATTTCAGACACTTTTCCACAAACTCCGAATTAGATCAAAAGATCGACACGAGTTCAGCGTGTTTTATCGGTCATGTCCAGATCCTTGCCGGCTGCTCAGAACACTGGGAACCAGTTTGTGACTGTGCCGTACTTTGCAGCTGCTCAATCCGCAACAGGTCTCCACACCGAGATGATTCCTTTCCCAGATACTTCACTCACGCTTGGTCAGCTTGCTCGTCTTCCAGTGGAACGTCACCCTGCTCTACAGGATGTCTTGAACGAGAGTTCGTGGAGTGTGGATGCTGAGATGAACGGGATGTGAATGAAGTTTACTTCAAGGGTGAAGAAGTCGCTGTCATTTGCCCAGTATCTGGTGGTTAGCGTAGGTACCCTTTGCAATTAATTTCGACATGCTTGCCCAAGCGCTATGCCATTGACCGATTATAATTAGCTCCAGCAAACCTGAGGCTGTGGCATTGACCTGACCAACACTCGACACCCACACCCCTGAAAGTGCAATGTTGTCATCAAACTCTTACTGATGATCCTCCATCACTATCCGCCACCCTTGGTCGTCCCCATCGCTAGCATCAGCAAAAGTCTGTTATGCTCCGGAGCATCAAGAGTGGCTGGAGCATGTGGGAGACAAAACAGCAGATTGGGCACTCCTGGAGCCAATAGTGTTCTCCTGGGAGGGGGTTCAGGAGCAGCTGGGAGTGGTGAGGAGTATGTAATGTGCCAGGAGCAGTGGGAGGAAAATTTTGGTCTCTAAAAAGTTGAAAAAAAAATTTTCGGGAAAAATCAAAAAAAAAAAATCAGGAACTATAGTGCCTTTAAAGTGCTTTCAGGACATATAATTATTTGCAAAATTGAGGAAGAAATGATGGAGAAAAATGGAAAATACTTTTGGAGACCCAAGAAATAATGAGAACTGAATTGATGGGAAAGTCTGAAAATTGAATAGGAAAGTGAGGGGAAGCCTTGTAAGCATTGTTATTTTCTGCTGTTCTGATTTTTCCTGATTGTTCTTGGTCTCACTCCCAGCTGCTCCTGGACCCTCCCAGGAGCTTTCAGGAGCTTCCAGGAGTATTGAGGAGCAGCTGGGAATGAGACCAAGAAGAATCGGGAAAAATCAGAACAGCAGAAAATAACAATGCTACAAGGCTTCCCCTCACTTTCCTATTCAATTTTCAGACTTTCCCATCAATTCAGTTCTTGGGTCTCCAAAAGTATTTTCCATTAGCTGCTCCTGGACCCTCCCAGGAGCTTCCAGGAGTATCCAGGAGTATCCAGTAGCAGCTGGGAGTGAGACCAAGAACAATCAGGAAAAATTAGAACAGCAGAAAATAACAATGCTACAAGGCTTCCCCTCACTTCCCTATTCAATTTTCAGACTTTCCCATCAATTCAGTTCTCATTATTTCTCGGGTCTCCGAAAGTATTTTCCATTTTTCTCCATCATTTCTTCCTCGATTTTGCAAATAATTATATATCCTGAAAGCACTTCAAAGGCACTACAGTTCCTGAATTTTTTTGATTTTTTCCCTAATTATTTTTTTCAACTTTTTAGAAGTCCCTATTTTTCAAATTTTCCTCATTTCCCTCTATATCCCCCCCTCATTCTCCCCTCATTCTCCCCTCATTCCCCCCCTCATTCCCCCCCCTCATTCTCCCCCTCATTCTCCCCTCATTCTCCCCCTCATTCTCCCCCTCATTTCCCCCTCATTTCCCCCCCTCATTCTCCCCCATTTCCCCCTCCCCCATATTCTGCCAGCCCGAAAGTGATTAAGTTGCCAGATTAATCATATATCAGGCCATAAATTTTGATTGTGTATTGGTGAGTCTCAGTGTCCTTGATGTATAGTATAGTGTTTGATCTAAATGTTAAGCAGTGTCTTGTTGTGTTAGTCTTGTGGTAGGAGGTATTCATGGGGGATCTTCCCTCTTTTTTTCCTTTTCATTTTCAAATGCTCCAGGAGCTCCCAGAAGCTTCTCACCCCTATACACTTTGAAGCATTTAAATTGTATTTACTGGATATGTTTGTGCACAAAGCAATGCTCCAGGCCCTCCTGGGAGTGCCCTGGAGTACCTAGCCAACTCCGGAGGAAATGGGCTGTTCCTGGACCAGCCAATCTCCTCCTGATTCTCCCAGTGCTCTCGATACTCCGGAGCACTCAGGAGCATAACAATTTTTTGCTGATGAGGTGTCCTACTGTATGCTCTTCCAGAAATCGACCCAAGGAACGGGCACCATGCTGCACCACCCAAGGGAACGGGGGAGCGCGATCGACCCGGAGCACGTGGAAGAGGTGGAGGGTCATAAAGACTGTAGGTACATAGCCATCCAGTACAGCCAATAATCCTGACACCACAAGCCAGCGGACTCCGTCACCCCACCACACCAACCAGGCACCCTTACCATGTATCGCCGATCCCCCCAGGCTGCGGTGCTGCAGGACAGCCGCACTGCCACATATCAATGCAACAACCTTCTCCGTGCGCTCTTATGCATGGTGCTACACATGGTCCGATCTGGACCCCGACAACTCGCATAGAAATCGGTTGAAATGGTAACAGCAAAGGAATCAAATTGGCAAAAACGGTCAAAAATCACATACAGCACAGACCCGAATCCGAGGACAGGCAATGGCACAAACGCAGAAAAAAGACCATCATTAGGAAGCAGGGGAATCATGGGAAACGGGATAGAATAAGGAATACGGAGGAATTGATCGGAGTTGATCAACTGTACTAGTACTACTAGAATGGGTGGATATCTGGTTAAAGGGAAAAGAAAAGAAAAGCAAGATATACCGGTCAGAATATCAGTCCACTTTTGGTGCTAGACGGATTTAAGGAAAAGGGAAACAGACAAAACTTGTAGCTGACAGCGAAGCCCCAAGGTGGGGGTAGATTGAGATGAACAGAGACAATAATGGGACGAGGAAGAGTGTGAATGTGCTACAATGATGTATGGGACGAGGGTCGA